AAAGACTTGTGTCGTCAAAGTTTCGTCGGAACGAAGTTACGGAAAAATCAATTAACAAACGGAGATGTAACAGTATGTTATAAATACTGGGTCAACGAATCATCGAGTAGAGAGTTACGGGACAATTAAAAATATAATGAGGTGTTTGTAGTTGATAAAGTGAATCAACTAATATCTGTGTTTGTTTGTTTTTTTTTGTTGTTGTTTTTTTCAGTGAAATGTTTGGATATGTGTTAGTTATCGCGCATATTGAGTTAATAATGATATTGTGTTTTTTTCGCTAATATTGAGTTACTTTGTACAAATAGGTTTGTTTTTATATCATCGTAGTGCATTTAGCATCATTTGTAAACGTGGCCTATCAATTAATCAATGTTCAAACTTGTAAAACGTCAAGGAAGAAATAAACCATGGATACATATTATTCCGCTGGAAATGTTATTTATTTTTTATTAGCAACTCTACTTCGTGGTTTTTACTTTCAATAAATTGCAAAGTCTGACACGTACGAAAACAACAATATTTATTGAATTAAAATGAATTTAAACACATGCACAAAAAAATAAAATATACAAAACCTTAAATATGTCTTGAAGTAATTGGTAGCGTAAATGTTTTAAAGTCGGGACTTTTGAAGAATATCTTAGAAATATTTCAAATCAAGTTATTGACATGATTTTAGTGACTGTCAGAAGGATAGAAAATTATTAAAGACTGATTCAAAATGTGTGCTATACAAATGTTTTTAAACTTTTAAATGCAAATTTAATATGTGCCTACACAAGAAAGCGATAAAAACTGGAAACTTATTTTAACATCATAATAAAACCACAAATCACGCCTTCTTTGTCAAGTTCAAATTATAAGAGGCTGCAATTTAGTTCTATTAGTAGTGAGCAAATATTATTTACATAAAGTCTCCTGTCGACAAAGGTGTGTATAAAAAATGTAAAAGATTTTAACTAGTCACTTAAAAGATACATTGAGTTGTGAATTTAATCACCTTATGTTGTCCAAAGATGATTATTTGTTTGTTTGTTTCAGATCTTCTCATAAAGCTAAGAAAAAGGAACTATCATCGCACATCAGTCTCTAATTTGAACTGTTAAGTAAAGATATGGTAGTTAATGAACAGCACCCACCGCCAACTACTGGACTACTTTTATCTGGGAGATTAGTGGGATTTGGCCGTCATTTTTATAATGCACCTAAGGTCCCAAAGTGCAGAGCACATCGTTGCGGCAACGGGATACGTACCATGAATTCTCGGATTAACATTCCAAGCATGCTAATTCGGCCTTGCACAGATGATAATGAAAAATAATGCGTTATTGTTATTAGTTATATGTGCATACACGTTATTTAGTATCGTGCTGGCCAATTCCATATATATATACATGTATATATATATATATAAACGTAATCAATAATCTATTTATTAGGCGAAAATAGTACAAAAAATACGAACGTAAGGAAACAAATAAAGCATGTTTACTAAACATTTCGAAGAAGAAAGGGTTCCTTTATCAGTAATCTACAGAAATGAGAACTGATATACAGAGCTAAATATAAATTAACAAAATCTAATTAGAACATCATTAAGTTGTTGGAAGATTGTGTGTTGTTGAACGAGGGAATGAATTCTTTAATTGTTAAGATTATTTTTATCAGAAGTTCAGTTTAACACTTAACAATAGCAAGAATTGTAATGTTTTATACATTAATCGAACATCCTGTATTGTAATTTTGCTGACATATTAGTGTATTAAGTAATTTTTTCCCTCTCTCAACGATCTTCATATGGTTTAAAACTTTCTAATTTTTGTTATTTATATTTAGCTCTATATATTTATAACTGTAATTATATTTATTCTCATTTCTGTGCCCTTACGTTCACTTTTGTTTTGTGATAATACTGATGAACATCTGATGTTAACTCTGAAAAGAAAAGGTTGATTCTCCCTACACACTTAAAGTTCTCTTTGTTATAAAATTGCCTCAAAAGAATGATTCTAAAGAACCAGAACATTAACAAACTATTATCTTACCAACAAAATACGTCGCATGAAGTAAATAAACATAAAGTGATTAGAATGGCAGCCAGAAGGAGATAAATAATTGTACTTTCTACTGATTTATAAATACAATTTCCGAATAACAAAAAAAACTTTTTTTTCAATTATTTATAAATATAGATTTTTTCTAAGAAATAACATATTTTACAAATAGATACTATTTTTTTAAATTATACAAATAATAAACAATATTTCACATCGAAGTAAATTACAACAAAAATAGAATATTCCTCATTTGGCTTTTCGCGATCGTCGGTACCTGGAGCCGTGAAAAGAAAAAGAAGGTGAATGATCATTTAAGTAGACGTTCGTGAAGTGAGGATTCGTTGTCATTTCGTGCATCATCGCCATCACCATCATAATCATAGCGTGTAGATTATCCTCGTCCTCTTCTGCTTAACAAGATACAAGATGTATACGTTAACCTTTAAAAATGTAAATGTTGCATTAATTAGATCTTAAAGAAACGTTAAAATACAGAGGGTTAATTGCATTTTATCAAACGATTGCATCGTTATATCATCACAGATGCGAGCCGAGCTACCACAATGACTTTCCAGCTGTTCCGCGTGCAATGCTACCGTATAATAGAACTGTCACATGTTTTACCATGATTTCTTTCTTTTTTTTGCAGAGCCAAGTATATAATATAGAAAAGGACTACTTAAACACGCCTCAGCCAAACAGGGACAACACTCTCATCTACAATGTGAAACTATGGTTACAAAAGAAATTCCTAGCCACCCCCATCCACCCCCCCCTCCCCCAAAAAAAAACACACTGCGTTGAAGCTGATCATACCCTGGTACCATTAGCCAAAAAATAAACAATAATTTGAAGTTGATAAAAGCTCACACGGTTCATCTCGAAATCAATGGCTGTTTTCGTTAGAAAGAGTGGCGAATAAACTGGAGTTACATTCAATCACATACCTTCCAAGTCCCCCAGTGCACAGCTCCATGCATCTGGTCTGCTTAACGTGATCTTGGAAGCCGGCCTTCACGTACACGGTCGATAGAATGTTTGTCAAGATGTGTGGTCTAAGACTGACTACGCCGTTTTTCACAGAAGCTAGTTAGAATGAAAATTGCGGAGTGGGGCAATAGTGTGTAATCATGGTCACCAGACTGAGCACGACAGACGGAAACAGTTCCAAGGACAGCACAAGAACTAGAATATCGGTTTTATGAAATGCGATTAACCCCCAGCATACCTTTTTGTTTCACACAAAACATATATATGTGTCGATTACGTAAATATTAAAATATTTTAATCAGTCATTAAAAAGGTACGTTGGAATGATAGTTTAATTAGTTTATGTTTGTTCAATGTTGATGAAATTAATAAAACTTAATATTTTTTGTCATATACATAACTTGCATATTATTTTCAATAACTATACGTTTATGACGCACTGAATCTAGGCAAATAATTCATTCCAATCGTAACATTAATATCCGAAGCATATTCTTAAAAACAACTCAAATTTGGTTCTTTTCGGCAATATTCACAAAGAATTATACTCAGGACGTAATAACATCAACCCACCATATTTTTCATATGCCTAGAATATAATAGCAATTACTTATAAGCGCGCGTACTATAAAACTAGATTTGGTCAGAAAAGGCCCGGCATGGCCAGATGGTTAGGGCGCTCGATTCGTAATCTGCGGGTCGCGGGTTCGAATCCCCATCCCACCAAACATGCTCGCCCTTTCCGCCGTGGGGGCGTTATAATGTGACAGTAGATCCCACTATTTGTTGGTAAAAGAGTAACCCAAGAGTTGGCGGTAGGTGGTGATGACTAGCTGCCTTCTCTCTAGTCTTACACTGCTAAATTAGGGACGGCTATCACAGATAGCCCTCGTGTAGCTTTGCGCGAATTCAAAACAAATAAATAAACTGGTCAGAAATTTAAAAACAAAAACTGACCTACAAGAAGGTCAAGCAGACTTAAATGCGATTTGCACTTTACGTTCTTTTGCTTTCAAATATTATCAATATTCCCATTGAATTAAATATGCAATTATACCATCATGGATATCGTTAATTCTTTATTATCATTATTTAACTTAAAAGTTAGTTTCACAATGCTGAATTTGGTATGGATCTTAATGTTTTAAATCTCGACTTACCGCATAAGCCGTAGTATTTGACAGACGGTCTAAGACCATGGGTGCTACACAGCGGCTTGTGTGTGGGTTGATACATGGTTCCATCAATAACATTTCCACTGGAAGGGGGAAAAATTGAACATTTATATAAAACAAAATGAGTTTCAAAAATATTAGATCTTTAAAACAAAGGTCTGACGTTTATGCATATCTGATGAAGATCAAAAACCTAGCTGTCTTAACTTACCCAGGCCCATAGTTGCATACATATATTTTTGAGAAGCCTCTGATACGTTCATAGTAGTACGTGTACCCGCATCCAACCTTGTAAGTGTCTCCCCAAACGACCTATAAACGAAATTTGAAAAGAAAATTATTTCGCCGCAATAAATAAAATAGTTGACAAACGAAATGTTTGTATAAGCAGAAGTAAAAACATGTTTGTTTCATGTGAAGCCACACAAAGATAGATAGATATAACAACAACTATCACCATTTCTTGGGCTACTCTTATCTACCCTAATAGTGGGACTAAATTATCACTGTTATAGAACACCCACTACCCCAAAGTGTGTAGCGCGTTTTGGCCACGATCCCTAAACCCTCGGATTCACGGTCTGAGCACGATAACCACTGGGCCACGTCCGGCCCAGTAAAGAAATAAAAACGTCTTCAAGTACATGTTATCCAAAGTGTCTTCACGTATGAAGATAATTCATTGACTTAAAAGTAATACAATTTCGCAATACCAGCAAAGTATAAAACAGTACTTCAACAAAACGTATGATTGCTTAAAGTAAAAGGAAGTCTTCATGCTCGAGGTCGTTAAATATTACGTCGGCCCCTTAATTAACTAACAAATGTAAATACTTAACATATGTTTTGTATTACGATGTAACCAGTTTATTTATTAGCTAATTTCTGTTATTTAAACGTTATGCCTTTACCTAAAATCCCGGGTTCCAGATTTATTCATAATGATGTGCCAGATTAATTTTATTTACTGAATGATCCATTAAGGCTTATATTTTAAACAAAACTACAATGAAAATATAGAAAACCTGAGAAAAGTGGCCAGCGCTGTATTTGAACTTGAAAGGATGAAGATGATTGCGGTTGAAACCAACTCGCTTGTATTCGTCATACCAAGCTTTAACCTGAGTCTCCCAATCCGGTTCGTCTCTGAGGTTATCCTCCCTGTTGAACGTCCATGCGATAGCTACGTTTTGGCCTACTGCAAACCTTTCTAAAAGCATTATTCAAAGAATTATTACTTCTAACTTCAATCATTATGTGTTGAGTACAGATTATACACATTTTATAAGAAACCATAAAATAAAATCAAGTAATACAACTTGGGATACTCTGTAAACACCATATTTCACATAAACAGAAAAATTGTATTTCTTCTTGTGCCCATTTTTAATAAACGTCTGTGGACTTACAACGCTAAAAACCGCGTTTCGATACCCGTGGTGGGCAGAGCACAGATAGCCCATTGTGTAGCTTTGTGCTTAATTCCAAACAAACATAGTTTCGTTAAAATTTAGTTCTACACAAACATATAGCTGAACATTAGTTCCATAACGATCATCTTTGTCAGTTAAGATTCATTATCCTTCCAATGTTAGCTAAGTTTCAGCTATATTCGTAATCTTAACTTTTGTGTTTGCTTTGTGTTGGACAAGTTTTAAAACTTGATTCACAAGTGAAAAGATATGCTTACTTGGAAATTATGAATTAAATTAATAAATAATGTTTTAAATAACGGTAGATGTAAATGTTAACTTCTACCTACAGACAGTGCCTGCAATGTTTAGGTAAAGGGAGGTCTTGAAAACGGTACATGCCCTGAAAATATTGTTGTAAGCTATATTTTCAATGTTTTAATTTAATTGTTAGCTAAAAGGCACATGACTTTAAGACTGTAAAGTTTATAAAAGTAGTCTTTAAATACTTAAAGTATTATATAAGACGTCATAAACATCTAGTAACTTCGACATATATCTAGAAGTGAAACAACAGATATAAATACTTGTGAGTCAGTCAATTAGTAAGTTAGCAGTGAAGTAGTCAATTCTGTTTTTAGTGATAGAATGCCAGTCAAATATTTAGATCAGTGTTAGCTACACAATTGATTAGCCATGAAATTGTTCCGGTAAGTTTATTCTTATGTTAGTCGTAATACAATTAGCGAGGTATTTCCGTTTGAACGTCATTTGTAAACTTAGGCCCTCAAACTAAAACTGTGTACAAGTGATACTGATAGTAGCTAACACTCAGGAAGAAATAAGCTAATTTGTTATTATTACATGGCCCTGAACCTCAAATTATTTTTGCAATGAAAGAACAAAGTTACAACAATATCTATATGAATATAATAATACTGTCTGTTACCTGTTGTATGTCTGTGCAACTATTTCGCAGAGTATGGATGGATCTTAACCAAAATTGGTATGGAGGTTCAGGTCCATGCAGGAGTATACACACATTTTCAGTTTTACATTTTGCGTTTTGCTGTTTTTATGGGCGTTTTTGCGTTTTATACCACTATTTCGCCCCATATTGATGGATATTGATGGGTCATTGGGGAGATACACATAAATTTTCAGTTTTGTATTTTGCGTTTTGCAGTTTTTATGGGCGTTTTTTATGTTTTTTACAATTACATATATAAGGAAAGCAACTTTACATGTCCTAAGATAACCTTTCATTAATCATGAATTTACATAACTTCCGTCCAGGGGGATGGATACTGTACAAAATATCAGTTGTCACGATGAACTGTTAGTTTAGACGCTAATTGTGTATATCAAATAAATGGTTACGTTTTATCGGTTGTGCATTTAAATTTTGAAGTTTCCTACCCTTTCATTAAGCATCTTAATAGAACTGCAAATTGGTAAAGAACATAAAAGTATAGTAAAAAATCAATATTGAGCCTGCGACAGATAAGTGAAGCCTGAGAAATTCATTACTTGTAATCGCTTTATAATTTTTTTATCATATATGCTGATTAAAATTTTGTTTATACTTTTCAAAAAGTAAACAGTGGGATTGTTTAATACGTATTAACTACCAACGTATAATCAATATAATTTTAATCACAATCTACTGCCTCGTATAAAAAAACTGATATTTTCCAATAGTATAACTAATTTTTGTTGTTTATTTTAAATATGTTTTATCGAAGTAGTCTGAAATTATAAACCTCTATGAAATAAGGCAAGAATTAACAGTTCAACTTATAATTGAAAATACCAGTTCTTACAACAAGTTTAGGTTTTATAAAATGGGCAAAAATGTTAGGGTTAACAACTTTGTTTAATACAGTGGTTTATAATATTAAAAGTAGGCTGAAATATCATTATTACGAACAATGAAATTATTTTTAGTTTTGTTTTGTGCTATCTTTAAAACCAGTTATAATTCGAATATCTATATCTATAACCATCGCAAATGTCTTGCGGTGTAAAACATCACCTACCGACGTTTCTGTTTTGATCATGTCCATCCATACACTGGTCTGCCCATCGTTGGGCTATTTCAGCCAATTCTTCGTCCCAGCTCTAGAATTAGAAAGCTTTGAAACTTCGAATGCTAAAATGTAACACAATTTAGTTTAACAAAATAAAATACATCAAAATATAAATTTGTCAACCAATTAAGTTTAGTAACTATAGGTTACTTTCAAGACCTTACGTTTATTGTTGTTTTACTAATTCAACGAATACGTTAAGCTACCTGAATTTTACTGAAAAAATACTTCCAAAATCAAGGGCATTCAAACCTTTACTATTCCTTTCTAAATAGTACAAGCCCATAGTCAAGATAATTTTGGTAGCTCCAGTGTAGTGGTCCTAGTAATTTGAGGGGGGCCAACGTATCTTTGGGGATCTCTAATATTAAAAAAAAATTGCGTTTCAGAAGTAGAAAGAAAGGCATGGAGCCATTGGGGTTGTATAATGAGTATATATAATTTCTATGGTGCAGAGTGACCACGCTGCTTGGTGAATGTTAACAGGTATATGTTTTGCAAGGCGTATCACATCTCGTCACTGTTGCCCCTCTCTCTCTCTGTTAAACATATTTTTACTCCATTGCATTCATATATATATAGTTCTATACTCAAATGAGATATAAATGTCTTAAAAACTAATTTACTACAAAGCAATCAAATCGTAAAACTACAATAACTAGCGGACGAACCATGGAATTATCGTTAAATAGCAAATTTCTAAAAGTCACAAAAACGTAATTTATCTATGCGATTTTTCCATCTTTATTTCCTATATCAGATATTCAACATGTAGCCTTTACAGATGTAGAATCTCAGGAGGAAAATAATGGAAAGAAAACTTCAAAATGTCATTTTACATTATTATATATGTTATACTTCAAATTGTTACGCTTACCAGTTGACGCATGTCACTAGCTGCTGGCAAACCATGTTCCTGTCCTCTAGCGACTACAGCCCGAAACTTATTGTGCATATGAACAATAATATGTCTTTGTTCCATAGTTACCCCTCCACTTCCTTCAAAAGGGAAGAAAAATAACGTAAATATGTTAAAAGTTTCATTCAGGAAGCTAAATATGAGCCAAGGTTTGAATTCACATAGAACAAAAAAGCTTTAGAAATTTCGGATTGAACATTTTGTTGTATTATAATAGTTAAAAAAAGTTAAGTTAGTGTTGATTAACATCTTTATCTTGTATGAGCTTTCGATTATAAAGGCGTTTAACAAATAAATTTCTAGCCTCAAATATCTTACTCTGGATATAAATCTACTGTAATGTAGAAGTCATTAGATAAATCTGTGATGGCTACTCCCAACAGCCAATGAGGTATAATCCTGTTCAGTTTCAAAAGTATCTGACTTCATAATAGTTTTTACATTAATCTTCCGGGGGTTGACGTATAATTATATTAGATGAAAAGCTTCTGACTTTCTAATAGTTTTTATACTGATCTTCCGGGGGTTGACGTATAATTATATTAGATGAAAAGCTTCTGACTTTCTAATAGTTTTTACACTAATCTTCCGGGGGTTGACGTATAATTATATTAGATGAAAAGCTTCCGCCTTTCTAATAGTTTTTACACTAATCTTCCGGGGGTT